GAGTTTCTGTAAGTGAAGCTCCAAGGGTGGGGGTCAGTGAGAGGACGGCTCAGTGAGTAAAGGTGATTCCGGACAAAACTGGTCACCTGACTTTGATCCCTGGTGGAAGGAGAGAACCAAGGCTTGAAAGATGTCTTCTGATCATGGCTGTCTCTGACATTTCCAGGAGACACAGTCTCACAGCTAACTCCTGGTCCCTCTGGCTCTTCCTGCTTCCCTGTCCAGCAGTGATCCCTGAGCCTTCGGCACAGGAGTTGTAGTGTAGATGCAGCAGCTGGGACTGGGCTCCACAAGTCGGCAATTTGTTGGCTGTGGTTTTCCATAATGGTCTAGTGAATATTTTTGACACTTACTTAAAACTGTATAAAAAAACATAGCAAGCACGACTGAGAAGACAATTATGGTTTTGCTTCTGCAAATCGGAAAAGCAGTCTATGGGCTGTTGTAACATTTTTCCTTATGTTTTAGGAGAGACTCTGAGAACCACACAAAACCTAAATTTCATGCTTCAATGGCCCTGTGAATCAGACATGCAATAATGTGCTTCCTTATCAGCCTGCAAAATATCCTAGAGTCAGAAAGGTTTCAGTAGCTACGGCCCGACAGTACCGAGTCCTGTGACACGCACTCACACACACCTTGAACACCACCTGCGGTGGTTAAATGAGACCGCCGACTTTTGTTCTGTTTGCTTTTTTCAGCCTGTCTTAAAAGCAATTACTATTCTATTACTGTTCACACAAGAGAAAATTTACCAGCTCGTAATTGAGAGGCAAGTGGAACAGACAGGAAAAAGGCAGCCACCTACTCTGGTTTCCAAGAAGCTGCAAACAACAACCTAAATGTTTCGAAGACACACATCCGTCACCCCAAATGATACTCCGGGCATGCCTTCATGCCTATTCATGAGAGACTCATCAGTGCAAAGTAGGGCGGAGAGAAGAAGAATGGTAGCAAAACACAATGGGAAGAGGCAGGTCGGCAATGTCTTTTAAATCCAAATTATTATTTCTGGCCCATTAAAACCTCAAAATCCAAATGGAGGCCACTGGTCTCTGAGGAAAACTATCAAAGCAGAATCATAATTCAAGTAATATACACCCAGGGAGCATGAAGAAAACCTAACTATCTAACATCCAGAAGACTGACTGCAGTTACCAGTAACTTAAAAATAAATAGAAGGATGAAATCAAGTTTTATCAGTCCTATGGCCTATTACTACACTCTCAGAGGGGAAGACAATTCCCATCCAAGGGGTATGCTCTGGGTAGCCTTTCTAGGCTACACCTATGAGAAGCTTCTAGGCTTCCTTGTGAAGAGTCCCCTAAGCTAGGCAATTAGGTCAGGGTAAAAGAAAGAAAGAGAAAACCAGGCCTCCTCCCAGGATGTGCTGGGTGCCTCCTGGGAGGGGCTGCCAACACTGTAACCCCAAAAGTCTTTGGGGTGATGATTCCAGCAAATACCTTGCAGAAGGGCACACAGGAATGCCTTAAAAAGCAATAATACTATGGAAGTAAATACCCTTGCTTTGTCTGCCCAGCACACGAATAGATTAACAGCATCTGGAAAGAAATCCCAACCAGGGACCTCTCCACTTTTCAGTCCTTGCTTGCTGAAAACACCTCCCACACCATCTCATTAACTGACTCCTGTGCCGCTTGAATATCTTAGTTGGTTTCATCTTCCTGTCTCATCTCATTACAGTTAAATTTTTTAAGTTTTTTTTTTTTTTTTGCTTGGAAAGTGCTATTTTTTTTTTAACCTTTTTAATTCAATTGATCTCCAAAGGTGAAACCACAGTCAGCCGAAGAGTATCACTTTAAGCTTGGGAAAGCCTTGAGGAACAGACATCTGATCGATAGTGTTATTGAAAATATGACCAGGTATAAAGTCCCATTTATCTGTATTTGTGGCTTTCATTAAAGCAGCCTAAATCCTTTGCAAATAAGCTTTTTCAGAGAGCTTGATCAATGCAGACAGGCAGGCAGGATTACCAGTGACCCATCATGCAAAACAAAACTTGTCAATGTCCACAGGGAAATCTGTAGGAGCTGAGGTGTTTGAAACCAGCAAAGACCCCACTACTTCCTCCTTGCTTACTTAGACAGCTTCCGAGGCTGTGGCTCACACTCAGCTTCATTTGCAGATGGGTTTGACTGTGCACACGAGATTGTTCAGTGCCAATATTCCTTCCCTGTTATCATGGCTCAGTTGAAAAGGAAAGCTGAAAATTAGCCATACAGGAGGAAAAAACAAACAAACATGGTATTCCAGTTACCAGGGAGGAATAATTAAATGCAGATTGCCTGTTGCGTCTTTAATTTAATTTGGAGGCCTTTCATCCTTCACTTTCCTTCATTTGCAGCCAATTCTTGGTGAGCTAATTTGTACCTGGTTCATTTTCCTCCTTTTATCTTATCTGTTTTTCTTTATTCTCACCAACCATGGAGATTAGAAGCCCTGTGAACAAAAACGACGAAGCCTGGCTTGAGGTATTCTTTCCTTACATGATATGAATTACTTAAAGTGAATTTGTGCATATTCTCAATATAAAGGGTTGAGATCTAGGCCTCCACTCTGTATCCTCCCTTCTTCTTCTCCCGAGGAGCTACAGTGTTGAGGAGTTTATAGACTTCTCTATTTTCTCCAAGGGAAGACTGTCTAGACTGTAGTCCACATAGAATCATTAATTCCAGAAGGGGTGCAGAGTGAGTCATCCCACCAATGAAATCAAGAGCTTAGAGGGAAATACATGTCAAATTCTAGAAAGAATACAAGAGGATGCATAAGCCTCACTAATCAGGTTGCGTGTCATGTAAGGAAAATAAGATTGTAATAAAGAAGATGAAATATGAAACTCACACCAACAATTTAAAAAAGCCTAATCTTTAAAAAAAAATACACCTGGGGGGAAGGAATTAGGGCAGTGCTGGCGAAAGGTGCTCGCTCTAAACTGCTGTCTGAGACAGAGGTTCAGGAGATGCAGTGTGTCCTGCATCTTATACTGAAAAAAAAAACTGCCATACAGTATCCATGAAAAGTTACACGTGGTCTGAAAATATTTATTCTGAATATTACGCTATTTCTAATTGTGTGAAATGTTACTGCCGTAAAAGTTTCACTTGCTTTTTTAAAAAAATGATTTTCTCTTTGCCAATACGTTTTTTTTTTTTCCTTCCTCCCTACTTGGTCCTCTTCCTCTTATCAGTCCCCAGTCACCCTCCACAGACTGATGGAAAAAAAAAAAAACCCACTGACTTTTCTTCCCCTCTTTAATACACTCGACACAAGCCTCCCTTTCAGCAGGGGAAGTCCCAAAGGAAGACTGTATCTGAATTGTTTCTCTGCCTGTGTGTGCCAACTTTTACACTCCTCTAGCACCTCCTGCCAGCAAGCTGAACACTGGATAAAGGCAGTCTTCCCCGTTTTCAGTTTAGCCCCCTCAAATGTTAATTAACAGCAATGTGCACTACTTTTCTTAAACAAGACCACACATCATAGGTAAAGCGACTTCGGAGATGGGCAATAAAGAAGACTTGGCTTAAAAATAAACAAGCATTCAGAGTTAAAGGTCTTTGCTTCAAAGTACAAGTCCTCCTTTTAGAGAAAAGAACAGGGAAACCACTCATCTTCAAAATAAAAGCCCAACTTTAAAACAATCATTTGGTAGTTCTAATCACGGGTATAATAAAAGCCATGCTACACACTAAACCATGCTTATTTCTCTGGGGAAACATGAAAACCAAGTCCCATGGAATGAGAGGGCGGAGAACAATTACCGCTTCTTTTATTCAAGGAGAGGGTAGAAATGAAGGTGGCAACTAACTTTTTAAAAACAGATTTTTTGAAAACCGCACAGACAAAAATTAAACAGAAAGGGCATATCTACTGTCCTGCGGCCCAGACAGCAACCTGACATTGGGTGACAGAATGGAGGTGGGTGACTTCCGCCTGCTGGATACACAGATTGTTTTATGAACCCAGTATCCTGCGCAGACAGTAATTCCCGAACGCCCAGTTTCCTAAGGGAATGAAGGAGCTGGGGGAGTCTTTAGGAGACTGAATGCAAAGGAATTTCAAGTGGAGAGAATTACAGTCCCACAGTGCAAAGAAATCAAGATGTCATTCAGCTGTAACTAAGTGCTGGGAAGCATAAAAAAGGACAAGAGCACTAGTCCATTCTCCTTCATAGACCCACGGCATTATCATAGATCAGCCTCAAGAAAGGCCACCTGCTCTGCTGCTGCTGCTGCTGTTACTGCTGCGCACACGCAGGTGGCCTCGCAGGGAACATTGGCCACTTCAGCAGCAGGGGGCGGCTGGTGCTCAGGATCTACCTCAGAGAATGCTAGGCAGCATTCGCTCCAAGCAAGAGTGTCCAGAGGAACTCCAAGCCAGAGAGGTCTCAGAGAATGGTCTAGAAAAGGGGCCAGGTAGACCATCCGGATGATGCTTGGGGCAACAAAAGCCTTAAGAATGGGGCAGAACAATTCAAACTCACTTGCCAAAGGGTTAGGAAAAGATGGAAGGAGCCCCTCCCTTCCGATATATGAGTATTTGCTCTAAGGATTAATTTAGGACCGGAGGTCTGTACCAGAAGAGATTGGTTCCTAAACTGAGTTGTTATTACCCCCTTTCTACACGCTTCTCAACTCAGAATCACCTGTAGGAACTGTTAAAACCTACAAGTTAATCAAGCCCAGCTCCAGGTTTGGGCTCCATCCAGTTGTACAAATCACCTGTGCTATTTACTGGGTCCATTCTCGGAAAGGGCAAGACATCCAAAGGCAGATTCTTTCCCCCTGGACCACAAAGCCCCTTCTCCACCCATGACAACCAGAGGAGGAGGCTGGGGACTGCCCATCCTGTAGCTGCTCCACGCTGAGTCCGGGATGTGTGCACGGAGGACTGAGAACTCAAAAGTGTACACGATGCACAAAGGGGATGTAACCCCCGGAGACCCACCGCCCCTGTCCCCCCAGCGGGGGCCGGGCCACTACCTCCTGGAAGAGCTCCAGACTGTAGGTGTTGTCGTCGTCGGCGAAGAAAAGCACTCCAGGCTGCGCGCTCTGGTGCTGGTGCCTCTGGCGCAGCCAGGCGAGGCCCGCGTTGCGTTGTTCGGTGGCGCGCGGCAGCCACGGTCGCTTGTAGCGCCGCGGCGTGGGCACGTGCAGGTGCGTGTTGGGCAACCCGGCCCGCGCTAGGAAGCTGCTCACCAGCTCGCTGCGTGTGGCTCGATCCTCCACCAGGATCCAGTGCAGCTGCGCCACCTGGCGGAACGTGTTGGCCAGGCGGGTCAGCTCGGCTTTCTGCACTGGGCGGCTGTAGGTGGGCGTGATGGCATAGATGGTGGGCAACCGCGGCTCCGGCTGCAGCGGAGACCGGGACTCGTTGCGCTTCTCGGGAGCGTCACGCCCTAGGCTGCTCCGTCGGAGAGGAACTCGGGAGCCCCCGCAGCCCACTGTGTGGGGAGAGAAGTAGGGGCGCGAAGTGAGTTGGGGCGCGGGCCTGCGGGGATCCACGTCCAGCATGATGATGACGATCAGGATCCAGGGCAGGAGGATGAAGAAGCGGCTGCACAGCGCCGACTTCATGGTGCGCGCTCTCCAGCGTCTAGGGCACCCCCCCCCCCACGCCCCCAACAAGGACTAGCCTCCGTGTAGTAGGAGGGATCTCGGTGTGTGGCTCGGACGGCAGGAGTCAGCTGTTAGGGAGCAGCGGTAGACGCGCTCTCCATCCGGCCCGGGGCGTTGCGGGGACCTGGGCGTGCGGGTCGGCGCAGATTCCGGTTAATCTGGAACTCTAGGCGGTGCAGAGGGACGGGCTGGAGCTGTGGGTCACTGTGGTTGAAGTCGGCGGGAATCTGGACGCGGTCCAGCAGCGCTCTGCCGGCCCCGGAGTTGTGGCGAGTGCGAGCGAGGCGGTGGTCTCCGCTGCGCTCTTCCTAGAGTGCGGTCCAGGAACCTGTGAGCCGGTGTGCTAACCGCTCCCGTCCCGCACCGCTGCTGGCAAAGCGGCTCCGGATGCCGGCCTCGGGGAGCGCTCTGGGACCCTTTTGGAGGCGGTGGCAGATGATGCGAGGGGCTCGTCACATGTCGGTCAGTGCAGCTGCGATCCCGAGTGGACACCAAGAATGCTGCTCCCCTAGCTCTGTTCGCGTGCCGCGGCAGAAACCTGCGCTCGCGCCCCTAGCTTTCTTCTCGGAACCTCTCCCGGCTCCAGACAGCAAGATCCCAAAGCAGGGAAAGAAAGAAAAAGCGAGGGGGCGGGGGCGCTGCAGACTCCAGCGTCCTCCCAGTGCTCCTGTGGGAAGATAGCAGCGCTGCTACTGGCGGAGAGGGGCTGCGGGGCGGAGGCGGGAAGGGCCCAGGCTCTCTGCGGGGTCTGAGCCGGTGCTCCCCGCGGCCAGAGGCGGCGGGAGGGAGGATGGTCCCAGTGGGGCTGTGCGACCTCTGCCTGTGGGGGATGCTGTTCTCAGATCGCACAGAGGGCTCAGCTCTCGGGAATACTGCAGGGTCTTTGGTGATCAGCCAAAGAAACCCATTTATGCGCGGACAACTCCAGAGACCTAAAGAGGGGAGAGGGAGGAGAGAGGCGGAGGAGGCAAAATGGTCCCTTCCCAGGCTCCCAGCTTGTGGGGTTGCTGTACAGAATTTCGGCAACAAAAACCGCTTTTCATGAAAGGGAGAAATCAATAGAAGCCCACAGAGATGGAGGGGTGCCGCACATAGGTATTTGGCATGTGTGGCAGCCCATTCCAATGAATCAATTCGAACTGGTGCTGCCCAGCCACAGTTGGATCTCCGGGGAAGAAATTTCTGGAAACTCCAGCTGAGTAGGTTTAACTTATTTTTTTCATGTTGGAGCCCTCCGTGTTTGCAGTCTTAGGAATTATTCCTCCCTGGGATCCTTTCAAGGAGGCCTTGGAAGCGGAGTCACCTTCATTTTCTGCATGAGGGAGTGGAAGATGGAGACTTAAAGGATTGCGGAGGTCAGAGGTAACTGGCAGAGTGGAAACAGAACGCGGGTGTCCTGGCTATAACCCTCCACTTCTTCACTGCACTCCCTGTCAGCACCACCTAGTTGCAAGTGACGGTTCTTCCTAGATGGAAGATGTTCATCAAATCAAGCCGGTCCTTATGGGGGAGCATGCTGCTAGGCACACTCCAGGGAGCCTCAGGAAAGCTCACCCCACCCCGCCCCAGATAAATAATTTCTGAGCCTACCTTTCTCCACAGTTTGACCTTCTCAGTCTTAAACCTTCGAAAATTCTTCTGACTACATTCCTGGGGAGCAAGCAGAGCACTGAGGTAGATGCTCCATCCCTTCTCTCTCCTCTTCACATAGCTCCCAGGGTCTGGCATGGTGTGGCTGTGAGTTTTCAGAAGGATCCTCTTAGATTGCCAAAAGCTAGGAGTGACTTTTCAAACATTTTCCCTTGCCCCACAACCCAAGTAAATCCTACCCTTCGGTTCCACCTTCCCTGTGTCCTCCAGAACCCAAAACTGTGCTGAGTGGTGAACCCAAACTTGAAAATAGTGATCCCATTCGATTCCCTACCCGTATTCTACCTCAGGACACGACGTACATGCCAGCATCTGGAGGGAGAGGGAAGGGAGGGAAGCTGCTACAAGCTTTCCTTAAAGTCTTGTCGGTCACACACAAATCTACCGGATCCCTTCCCCTTACCAAAGTGGTTGCTGAAACCTTCCTTATTCTTTTGGACATTTTAAATGCGGTTGAAGAGAATTGCCTTGTGATGGTGGTAGTAAAACTCAGTGGTTAGTGAGTCATGTCGAAAGCATAATTAACCTTTGTTAGTAGGGATGTCTTTGTTAGTTCCAGTATACCATAAAACCTCTTCTGAATTGTGTTTATTCCAGAACAGGGCTAGTCAAAGACAGTACACTTTGGCAGTCAACTGAATGTGAAAATTAATAAGAGATAGTAGCTAGTATATAGAATTCATGGATATCAAATCATACCTAAGACACATTCGAGGACTGTCACTTTATTCTTTCCCATTGCCCTTGTCTAAGTTACTATTGCTGTGATGAAACAACGTGACCAGAAAGCAAGCTAAAGAGAAAAGTAGCTTACACTTCCACATCCTGGTCCATCATTAAAGGAAGCCAGGATAGGAACTCAAACAGGGCAGGAACCTGGAGGCAGAAGCTGATGCAGAGGCCATGGAGGGGTGCTGCTTACTGGCTTGCTCATCATGACTTGCTCAGCCTTTGTTAGAGATCCCAGAGATGGTGCCACTCACAATGGGCAGTGCTCTCCTCTACCAATCACTAAGTATAAAAACGCCCTACAGGTTTGCCTACAGTCCAGTCTTATGGAGGCATTTTCTTAATTGAGGTCCCTTTTTCTCAAATAACTTAGCTTGTTAAGTTGGCATAAAACCATCTAGAACAATCCTCACCGTGTGCTCAGTTGCATCTCCTGTCTTGGGGATTGTCTTAGTTCCCGGGTTTGGTTATCAGTCAGGTGTAACATGAAGGGAGCTGGCTTGTTGGGGTTTCTGTCCTGCCTGGTTCTCACAGCTGTTTAGCCCCAAATAAAATCACTCAGAGGTCTCTATAAGTTTTAAAGCTGATTGGCCCATTAGGCCAGGATACTTATCTGCTCTTGTAGCTTATATTAACCCATTATTCAGATCTTTGTTAGCCATGTGGCTCAGTACCTTTTTCAGCTAGGGCAGATCACATCCTGCTGCTTCGGTGATCTGGGCAGGAGTGGAAGGAATCAGCTTCCTCCTTCCCGGAATTCTTCTGTTCTCATTGTATCATTTCTACTTCCTGTCTGGTTTTCCCACCTATACTTCCTGCCTGGCCAATCAGCATTTAATTAACATGATTGACAGATTACAGACAATTCTCCTGCACCAGTCAGGCCACTTTCTACTTCTATAAATTGAGTCAATGGACTTCTGAAAGTCTGTTTAATTTTCTTGAATTATTATTTTTTTATTTCTTGGGTTAGCATGCTATGGTGTTTTGAATAAGAAAGCCTCTTCTAGGTTCATGTATTTAAACACTCCAGTTGGTCCGCAGCAGGTGGTGCTGGTTGGGAAAGCTTAGGAGGTGTGGCCTTGCTGGAGCAGGTGTGTCCTGGGGGTGGGCTCTGAGAGGAGCTTGCTTGGCTACTTGTTGAGATGTGAGCTCTTAGCTTTCTGCTCCTGAAAATTCCTTCTGCTCCCCATCCACAACCTCTGAAAACGTAAGCCCCACAAGCTCTTCTGTAAGCCACTTTGGTCAGGGTGTTTCAGTGTAACATCAGAAAAGTCAGTAACACATATATGAAGTCATGAAATTCCTTCTGCCTTCCTCATACAAAATGCTTTGTTCTCATTTATTCCTCTGCCTCGTGGTATACCTCTCCACTCCTTGTTCCCCCCCCCACTCAGGCTCAGTTTCCTTATCTGGAACATGGGGTAGTAATGTACATACACTCCATAGGATAGTGAAAGGATTAAAAACAGGTAAGTTAGATATCTTCCAGAAGAACTGGCATCAGCCTGGAGACCTCTGTGCATCATAATCGTCACAAGACTGAAATGAAAACTATTTTCTGAGCAAGACTGGCAATAGTGACCCCACATGTAGGGTGGGTCACCGGCGTGGTGTGGTCTCTTCCAAAGTTGGTACAAGGAGATGTGGAAAGCTGAAATTAGTTTACCTTAGTGTACCCCAAATAAAGCATATGCAGTAAGGATGGTATGATTCCAAGTGACATTTATTTCAAATGGCAGAATATACCATCCTGCTTTACATTCAGTCATTCAGTGGCAAAAAAAAGATGTGACCCCCCCAAATCATCCATGATCAAATCTAAGTAAAGATACAAAGTTACTAAGAATGTCCATCAGGAGAACAAAAACCCCAGACTGGAACACTTCCCAGTGTAAAAATGTATCACCTTCAAATATGTAGACTTTATCAGGTACCGAAATGGAAACCACTGTAGATAGGGGCTTGAAGAAAATGTACTGCTTATGAGGTATCCTCACTGGGTAGCTGTTGTGCCTGTCCATGAGCTCAGGCTCATGATACCCTTACATAAAACAATTGAAATTTGATCTGTGCTTGATAATGAAGGCTGGTGGAAGTCACTAGAGTAATTAAAATAATTACCTAACTTCAGAGTCTCTGCTCAGCCTCTCCGTGTTTATTTTCATTTAATCTCTCTAATTATTTGTGTAGCAAAGTGAGCGCTGCTTCTCCTGTACTAATGAAGCCTTGGATTGCCGGCGTTTCTGCATTCACTTTGTTCTCAAATGCACAAAGGTAAAAAAAAAAATCCCATCTAGGGAGTTAACAGAAAGCATGTATAATGACTAAACATTTGCTTTGCTGTGTTGAGGAATCCCGCTGCACACACGCTGCAGCACGGTTAGCCCACCATGTTGACTGATCCCTTTTGACATTTGAGCCTGGGGTTTGCTAGTGTGACTAAATCAACCTTCAAGGAGCACTGGGGATATCCTTGGTATTCTTAGTCAAGTAAGAAAAAGATCAAGGGAAAAAAATCTATCCTCACACAATTATATAATTTTAAATATCTAGATGATGAGACTGTAGGTATGGAGATCAGATGATAGACTCTGAGCTAACTCATGTGTGAGTGATGATTTAATATAAAAGTGTTGGTGACGAGTTAACCCAGCTTACATGCATGTGTATTTACATTAACATAAGTGCTTTCTGTCTAAATATCAGCTATAGATATGTGAAAGAATTATGTCAGTAATTCTATTGACACATTTTAGGGATACCACCAGTTTTATTGATCACTGTCAGAAACATGACACTCAGATCACATATTAAATGGCTCATTCATTTGTTTTATTTTCATCCATTTTAACTCTCTACAAATATCATATTAGACCAAAATTGTTTAAAATTTGAAGCTTTCTTACAATTTCAGATATTTGCAGCTGTGAACAAAATACAGTTTGTTCAGTAAAATCCCTCTTATTTTTTCTTTTAATATTTTTTTCATATGTATGAATGTTTAGCTTGCACGTATGTATGTTCTTGTTTCACATGCCTGCTGTCGCTGGAGTTCAGAAGAGGGCATTAGATTCTCTGGGACTGAAACTAGGGATGGTTGTGATAAACTGTCGTGGGTGCTGTGAACCCATTGTGGGTTCTCTGAAAGGATATCAAGTCCTTTTAAACACCGAGCCATCTCTCTAGTCCTACTATAATCCCATTTGTATGGAATAGGAAGTTATCCAGCTTCCACATTTTCTAGACAACTAGAAATTGACATTACCCAGTACTTTTTTGCAAAGATTTATATTCATTATTTTAAATGATG